GGTTTTGGAAAGGACACAGTAAATATATTGACTAGTTACAATGGAAGGAGGCAGGTTCTTTAGGAAGAAACTTTGAATGTGCATGGAGAACAACTTTGTCTTTAGAAAACATTATGTAAAGGTGGTCTGCCTTAAGGGCTCCAACCCCACCTCCCCTTCTCAGAGAAGTAATGGCTACTAAGAAGGCCACTTTCATGGATAAGTGCATAGAGAGCAAGTAGTCAGAGGTTCAAATAGCTTGTCTGTTAGTGCTCATAGAACCAAGTTGAGATCCCAGGCTAGGTTTAGTATATTTATAGATGGATATGCACTTTGAATTCTCTTCGTAAATCGCTTGATGCTGGGATGAATGAAAACAGAATGGTCCTGTGAGGGAGAATTAAAGCTGTTACTGCAGTCAAATGCGCTTGTAGGGAACTAAGGGAGATACTTGTGTTTTGGAGAAATAAAGAATGCTAGAGTATATAGGGAAGTATGTAGCTGAAGTGGGTAAAATGTGGTGCTTATCTCACTACCTGGAGAATCTGTGCCATTTGTGCAAATATGATTTTCTGGTAGATGGTCTGCGGCAATTCAGGAGGACCTCCTGGACGGATGCAGAGCAAGATGTTTCAAGTGACGTCAGCCAGCAAGGAGCCATGTCTGAAGTAGTGGAGTCTGTATGTTCGGGTGCCATAGTCAACCCTTGTTCTGCGTGAGAAGGCAAGGGACAGGAGGAAAGCGCCATAAAGTTGTTATCATTCAGAGGAAGCAAGAGTACCAGGTTTGTCTGGGTCAACTGGGTGCTACTAACTAGAATGACTGTTCCTTTGTTGTGTTGAGGAGTATGCTATGGAGAAGTGGTAATGATGGAAAAGTGTGTATGAGGGGTGCATCCCACTTGATTGTGAAGGCTGGGGACTGATTGATGCCTGCTCAGGTGAAGTAATTTGGTAGTGGAGCTGGCTGCAAATAGGTCTATTGTCAGGTATTTCCAGCATTACAGATGGTGGTTTACAACCGAAAGGGACTCCTCTGCAGATACTGCATTGATTTGTCCACTAGGATAGAGACTCCTTTATTTTGGCTGGTATAGATAGCCACTTGTTGATGTGGTGATTGTGTGGCCTGTATGCTGTTCAAAACCATGTCTGTAGTGGTCTCGTGAGAAGTCGAGCATGCTGAACCATGAATGCAGCTGCTGCTATATGGCCTAGAAGTTGTAGACAAAGTATTACCATGACCTGCAAGCTGTTCTGTGCTATTCATACAAGATCTGTGCTCACCTCTGACAAGGGAGCAATGCTGATGCAGACATGCAATCTAGGTGAGCGCCAATAAATTCAAACTATTGTGTTGGGATTCATATGCACTTTTGAAGATTTAGCTGCAGGCCAAGCCTGTTGAAGAGGGTCCTGATGATGGAAATCACTTGTTCTGTATCATTGTAGGTTGACCCTTTCAGGAAGCAATTGTCCAGGTGTGGGAAAATGACCACTCTTAGCTTGCAGAGGTATGCCGCTACCACTGCCAGGACTTTGGAAAGGGCTGTGGGAAAGGCCAATGGAAGGACTCTGTACTAGAAATGCCAGTTGTGAATCATGAATTGTAGGTATCAGCTATGTGTCGGGTGTATTGAGATATGAAAACATGCATCTTGTAGGGTTGATTCTCCAAGGCAGGGATTATTGTGGAAAGAGTTACCATCTTGAAATGTTGAGTGCGAATGAACTGACTGAGGCTGCGTAAATTAAGGATGGGTCTCCAACTTCCCATTACCTTGCTTATGAGAAAATGGTGGGAGTAGAACCCCTTCCCACATGTAGTTGAAGTACATGTTCTATTGCTTCAAGCTGCCATGGGGGGGGGGACAGTCCCTGCATGAAAATGTCATAATGAGATGGGTCCCTGAAGAGAGATGAGAGACGGGGTGGAAGGAAGCAGACAAAAAAGGGAGAAAATAACCAGTTGGCATAATTTCTAGCACCCATCTGTCCATGGTGTTGGTATTTCAGGCTCCTTGTTATTTGAGTAGTACAGGGTCTATCGAAAAAAATCACACCGCTGTCGGCAGAACTGCATCTAAACTGTGGTTTCAGTTTCGAAATGGCGCTTGTTCCACTGTCAGAAGACAGGATTCTGGGCTAGATGGACCTCTGTTTTGACTTAGTATGGCCATTTTTATGTTCTTAATGTTTTTAAGTCCCTACACCTAAAGCTATTGGCAAAGAGCCCACATATTAATTATAGCTCTTTGGGAAAATTGAAATTAATTTTTCTTTTTGCCATACAAATCACAGTAAGTGCTAGTGATATACATCAATGAACACAATCAACCCTCTCTAAAAATCTAAGTATGAATATTTTGCATTAAATTTATAACACCTTATGATAATGTTTTTACTAGGATGGTCCTGTCATACTGCATTCAGAAGCACAGATATTAAAGAGATCATTCTTGACTGTGTAGATTTTATAGTTTGCTATAGTAATTTTTATTAATGGTACAGATTTCCACAAATCTTCCTTTAAAGGGTTCCTTTACTAACTTGTATTGTTTTGCAACTGTTAATCATTGTAACAGTTGAAAACAACTAGCAATGATTTGACCATTCTGTGCTATTTGAGCAAAGAATTAATGTGTGAAAATTTACATTGAACTCAGGCTCCCTGGGCAAACAAGCAAAACATAATTACTTCCTCATACCTGGTAGATAAAGGATGCTAACTTCACAACAGCCATCAGAAGTGAGAAATCACTTTAATATTAATTACAAGTCATCTGTGCACTTGTAAAAGAATAACTATACAAACAATAGAGTCTTAAGACTTATGAGGACTAAGAGTTAAATTGTCCTCACTGTGAAAAGTCTCACAGGATAGCTGTGTTAGTCTGTATCTGGAAATACGAGGAATTCTGTGGCACTTTAAAGACTAAGATTTATTTCAGCATAAACTTTCATGGATAAAAATCACTTTGTAAGATGCATGGAGTAGAGTCACAGAGGCTTGGAGATTATATATATATATACACACACACACACACACAAGCACATCAAAAGAAGGGTGTTACTTATCAAGGGTAGGACCATTACTGCTTAATTAAGCATTTAATACAAGAATTCTTCATTAAAATTTCACTGCAATTAAAAAAATTCTCAGCGATATCCAGACCAATAAGCAGATGCAGCAATCTACACTGAGAAACCCTTATGCTTGAAAACCCAGGCTTGAAAACTCATGCCTTCTATCTCAAGAAAGCAGAATGTACACAATTCAGATCATTTAATGGATGAGCACATAAGACAGACACTCACCTTAACGAATGTGCTAATTATGATCTTCCAAATCAAGGTCTCAAACTGTAGTTAATGTTATCCTGCAAAAACAACAAACCCAAGATATAGTTTTACAAATAAATGATAAAAAAGGACTTAAAAACCATGCTTATCTTGTAGTCGACTAGTGGAATAAAAGCCTAGTCAAACATAACAGAAAATATGAATTCTGAAGATAGAGAGAGCATTCACTACGTATTAATAGTTCAAAGGCAAAACCAGAGGAAATGGAGAAAATTCCTTAGCTTAGCTTCAACTGAAATCTGAAAAATAAAGCTACAATATTTTTTTCTTAAACTGTACATGACGAGTCAATTTTGAATTTTCAAAGCGCCAAAAAGGTTACACTTATTTTAGGCTCTAAATCAATAGGACACAGACACAGATTGAAATATATGTTAGAAAAATCTATTTCAAAGACATTTATACAATTATTTATCTGACAAAAATCCATTTATTTATCTGTTAAAAATCTGTATTCCTATAGTAAAAATTGAGATCAAACACTTGAGGCCTGGCAAAAAGTAGTATTTCTTAGAGTGCATCTACATAGCATCCTAAACTCAAAATAAGATATTCAATTTGCACTATGCAAATTGTGTATCTCATTTCAAATATATTTTGAAATAGCTTATTTTGAAATTTGGCATGTCTACACAGCATAAGTTTTGAAATAGCGTGCTATATCAAGCCATCCTTTACGCCTTGTACAACGAGGCACCTTAAACTTAAAGTCTCCATGGATGCAGAATAAGACAGCCAACCCAGATGTCATATTTAAATTCCAGGGCAAAAAAAGAATCAGCATGTACCTGGTTTATTTACACTGTTTCTTTAAAGAACATTCAAAGGCTATTGTTTTCCAGGCTGAAGCAATTATTCTGAAATACAAGTCTCTCCTCTTATTGTTTTTGAACCTCTCATATTTGCAGTCTGGGACAGACCTGAATTTTTAGAATTATTAAAAAAAAAAAACACCATAATCTTCATAAGTTTAAAAAAAAAAAAGAAAGAAACCATATCAGAGATCAACAAGCTGGAGTGAAACAGGCACTTCAAATTGTGCTAATTTACTTCTCAGTTCAGTTTAATTTTAAAAATTAAAATTTTTAATGTTATGGACATAATAGGGCAGTAGTGTAAAATTTAAAATACATGGCGGGGATGCTTTTTTTTTTTTTTTTTTTTTTTTAAAGAGAGACTAACGTGCTGTTCCTAAGAAAAGAAAGGGAACAAAAGAAAATGCTGAATATGATGGTAATGATGATCTAAAGCTGATGTTAAAGATGAAAGGAGAATAGAAAAGTGAGAGAGAAAAATATTTGAGGATGTTCATAAGCCTTGGAAAAAAATTTTAAGTGACTAGAGACTTCATTGGTTTTTGTCCAAAAAGTCCGGTAATGTTATTTTTATCACTACATTTTGTGTGTTCTCTCTCTGTCTGTCAATCGACAGACAGAGAGAGAACACACAAAAAATGTAGTGATAAAAATAACATTACCGGACTTTTTGGACAAAAACCAATGAAGTCTCTAGTCACTTAAAATTTTTTTCCAAGGCTTATGAACATCCTCAAATATTTTTCTCTCTCACTTTTCTATTCTCCTTTCATCTTTAACATCAGCTTTAGATCATCATTACCATCATATTCAGCATTTTCTTTTGTTCCCTTTCTTTTCTTAGGAACAGCACTGCACAGAGAAATTTGCTGATGAGTGACAAGCTTCTTGCAGCCTGTTCACAGGCACATTTCCACACAGGCCAAAGACAACCTGGGACAACTTGTGCAGACTAAGTTATATTCTTTTCACAACATTATGTTATTATATACTTGTAACTCTAAGGTTATACACACATTCAGTAGATTTTGCATTTTTCACCACAAACCATTCAAACTCCCTTTTAAATCAAGAGAGTTTGCATTTTCACTCATTTAATTTTTTTTTTTATTCAAGATAAGGCTATTCATATACTCCAAGGTCAGATGCGGGGCAACACATAATTAGGGACGAAGGGTCATGCATCTTCCTACCAAAGGCAGAAGGAGCAAGGAGCCAGAGCATCTGGGTGGCCCAGGGGAGCTAGCCAGGAGAGGGGGATTAGGAAGAGCCTGGCCCCGGCAGGAAGGACGGGAAATGGAGCAGTAAGTTTCCACTCCCCCATCTGCATCACTCTGGGAAGAATGGGATTGTCTCTTCTTACCCCACGCTCACTTGTGGGAAACAGGGCAACACAGCCAGCAGCTGGGGGAGTAGAGCAGGCTGCAGCTAGGTAACTCTGCTTCTCTGCCCCACGTTCACTGACAGTGAGTGTGTATGTGAGGGAGGGGGAGAGACTGCCGCTGGGGCCAGACCGTTCTCTGCCCCACGTTCACTGACAGTGAATGTGTATGTGAGGGAGGGGGAGACTGCCGCTGGGGCCAGACCATGCTAGTGCTAACAAGGGACATCCTTAGGTGGAGGCCTGGGGTAGAGGTGGAATGGTGACGAGCAAAGGCAGGTAAGAGGTAGAGAGAAAGCACAGCAGGGATGGCGATAGCCAAGGTCTGGGCAGATGGGGATTTGTTTTGGCCCTCCCTGGACCTTGGGATGGTACAGGGAGAATCATGTAGTGGGGCGGTCATGTGGCCAGTGCCCCTCTTAATGTCCTTCCTCGCCAGTAGCCCCTGGTCATATGGGATCATTATAATCATTCCCAATTGACCGGTAGCTGTCTGGCATTGCACGCTTCCACAAAGCCACTGGCACGCGTTTCTCCACAGTCAGAGCAAATCTTATTCTGGTGTCCCTGTGCTTCAGGTCAGGGGAAAGCTATCTGCAAAGTTCCATGAAAGTGGCCATGCACATTTGGAAGCTTTACAGCCACTGCTAATTGTCCCATACCTGCATCACAATGCAGTCCCACTAGTTTGTGCTTGTCTCGTGGCACGAGAACACAGCGTTTTGCTATTTCCATCAACACAAGGGCTTACCTGTACAGCAAGTGCATGGGATTCTAAGATTCATCCTTGCCCTGGTAGAGAGACAAGTGTATGCTCTCGACAATGAACCATTAGGCACATCAAGGTAGACATCACCACCACAATGGTTTGATGCAAAACAGGATCTTTGCTCGCATTACAACGGCATCTGCATGGCTAACTAAGGATATTAACTATCAGTTAATTTACTAATCGAGTAGTCGATGAGACTCTTGTACATTTCAAAGGAGGAATGCAGAACTCTGCATGCAGCCCAGGGCCACCAGGAAGTCCCACTAACTCCGAGCTGCATGCGGGCATGTCAGCTTTAAGTCCCCAGAAGCACCCTCACGGAACCCAGGATCAGCTGTGCAGCTCTACCACTTTGAAACACTGAGGCAGCATTTCGAAGGGGCAGCGCTGCACAGCTGCTACCGCCTTGAAGTATTCCCTCTCCCTCTCCCCTGCTGCCTCTAACAGAGGCAGCAAATGGGGGGTTAACTAGTCAAGTCAACTATCCAATAAGCATTTGCTTAAGGACTAGTCAACTATCCAATAACATCCTGAAGGCTAACCAGAGCCAAAAAAGGCATGAAAAGACTGTATCCAACTCATCTCAGGCAAGGGAGTAGATGAGTGCATTATAGAATGCTGACAACATGAATCCAGAACCACCTACTGCACAGTTTTGGTCCCAGCATGAAGCGGGAGCATAATTCAGAATGTGAAGCAGCACAGGCACTGTGGGATAGCTACTGATAGTACATCACTCTCAAAGTTGATGGCAGTCTCCCTAATGGGGACTCACTACTTCGACCTACATTGGATTCTTCCCCATAGTGACGGACACAGGGCTTTGACTTCACAAAATCCGATGACCAGAAATCAATCTTAATAGACTTGACCTTAACTAGTAGTGTAGACATGGCCTAAGGTATGTTTTTTACTCCTTTAATTATTTGCCACGACTATTCTCTGAGCTAGGGATATAAGTGACTAGTCAAGTAGTCGACTACTCAACAAGCCTAGGCTAATTGGGTAGTTGAGTGACTATTCAACTTTCTAACCGTCAGGGTGGTTAAGCACCCAAGGAGGTTGCGGAATCTCCATGACTGACGATATTTAAGAGTAGGTTAGATAAACATTGCTCAGGAATGATCTAGATGGCACATGGTCCTGCTGTGAGTACACGAATCTGGACCTGAATACCTCTCAAGGTCCTTTCCAGTTCTGTATTTCTATGAGTCTCATCTGCTCAAGGTCATTTCTCATGAGTAGCATGGGGTAGTATTCAGAGGCCAGATGACAGTCAGCAATTCCTCCATAACATCTTAACTATGGTGGGTCTTTTGCAGACAGCATACCTCCTGGGATGCCATGTCAGGACAACAGATTGGTGCCTCTGTCCCCCTCAGAAGAGAATCTCCAATCACTACAATCCTATGTTTCTTCTTGGGAGTGGGGGGCTGCAGACCTTCTTGCTTTGGGGGTACATGGCTTCTCCTCCATTTTAGAAAGTAATTCCTCATCTCTTGTTGCCAGGACAGAGTAACAGTTCTCCAGTACCACACTGGGTGGTTGGGAGCGGGGCAGAGCACTATCTGCTGCCAGAAGTAACCAGCTGCCAGTGTCCCACAGACACAGGAATTCCTCATGGGCATGGATGCTCCTGAGCCCAGCCACTTCCTCCTGTAGTTCTCTCACCTGCTTCCTGAGACATTCCACCAGCAGGGATGGTTCTCCCTGCCTGATTTTCTGTAAGTAAGAGATGCAAACCAGTCTCTGAAAAAAAAAAAAAAATCATACCAGGATCTGGATAGAGACATCCATGGTCAGGCGGTTAGTCTGGCTATCGGTGCAGGTGGAAGCAACTCGGGTCAATCTGGCCTGGACCCCGGAGGGAGCAGAGCAGAGTTGGCACAGGTGATGTGGCTCTTTCTAACAATACTGGTAGTACTAGGACTCCCTCTTACAAGCTGTTCCTGATTGCTAGCTCCTCCTGGTCTTTCCAAGTCAGCCCTACCACACAGCAGGACAGTGATCAGAAGGCTAACTGAAGCTGATCAAGAGAAGAAACGCTCAAAAACTCCCCAGACACTCAATCCCAACTGACATAGTAACAGAACTAAAAAAAAAGAAAAAAAGAAAAGCAGAATGCAACTAATAAAAGACTCACTCACCCCAAAGTTAGCATTCACACCTTGTTCGTTCAGCAGAGGGATCTCCTTCTCAAACTCCTCTGTTGTAGATGCATTCTTTTAATCCAGTGTTTCTTAAACTTTTTGAGAACACGGAACATCAAACAAAAATAATTTTTTTATGCGGAACACCTATGAAAATTGTCTTAAAAAAATTGCCAGACCAAAAAAAAAAAAAAAAGACAAAAACACAGAAGTAACAAAAACAAAGAAGAGGTCGCAGCACACCTGTGAGTTGTTCACGGAACACCAGTGTTCTGTGGAACATAGTTTAAGAAACACTGTTTTAGTCAATTCATAAGTACGTCTTCTCTTCCAAACTAACTCTCCCTCAAGATGTTCGATGGATTTCTGTGATTGATTGGTTTGAACAATTTATTGAGAATTGGCCTGTTCTCATGATCTTTGTGAAGAAAACGGATTAAACGGATGGAAGTATCTCATCTAAATTATCTAACATTGGATTAAAGAGAAATGCAGAGGATATGCTCAGGATACTGAAAAGGTATGTCCTGGGACTAATCCTATTCAATTTATTTGTAAATTATTTAGAGAAAAGGGTAAAGAGTGAGGTGGCAAAATTTGCAGATGATACCAAACTGCTCAAGAATGTTAAGACCAAAGCAGACTGTGAAGAGCTTCAAAAACATCTCAAGAAACTAAGCAAACAGGCAACAAATGGCAAATTAAATTTAACGTTGATACATGCAAAGTAATGCACATTGGAAAAAATAACCCCAACTATACATTCAATATGATGAGGACTAATTTAGCTATAACTCCTCAGGAAAGAGATCTCGGAGTCATTGCGAATAGTTCTCTGAAAACATCCACTCAGGGTGCAGCAGCAGTTGAAAACGCAAATAGAACTTTAGGAATCATTTTAAATGAGATGGAGAATAAGACAGAGAATATTTATTGCCTCTATATAAAACCATGGTACACCCACATATTGAATACTGCATATAGATGTGGTCGCCTCATCTCAAAAAAAGATATATTGGCTTTGGAAAAGGTTCAGAAATGGGCAACAAAAAAAGGGTCAGTATGAAAAGAGATTAAAAAGACTTGGACTTTTCAGCTTAGAAAAGAAGATACTAAGGTGGTATATGATAGAGGTCTATAAAATCATGACTGGTGTGGAAAAAGTGAGTAAAGAAAAGTTATTCCCACAATATAAGAACTAGGGGTCACCAACTGAAGTTAATAGGGAGCAAGTTTAAAACAAAAGGAAGTTGTTCTTCACTCAGAGCACAGTCAAGCTGTGGAACTCCTTGCCAGAGGATGTGGTGAAGACTAGGACTTTAACAGGGTTCAAATAGAGACAGATTCATGGAGGTTAGGTCCATTGAAGAATGGGTGGGAATGGTGTCCCTAGCCTCTGTTTTATCTGGAAATACGTGACAGGGGAGGGATCACATAAGGATTACTTGTTGTGTTCCCTCCCTCTGGGGCATTTGGTATTGGCCACTGTCAGCAGACCGGATACTGGGCTAGATGGACTTTTAGTCTGATCCAATGCAGCTGTTCTCATGCCTTACATTTCAGAGAAATTTCTGCTGCATTCCTGATGCTGTTGAAATTTTGAAGGCACTTGAGACATTAACTTTCTTGTGAAGTATTTCTTTTTTCAAATTGCAGGCAATAAAGAAGCAAATGAATCAAGCACAAACTTCACCTCATTTTCTTGTGTATGTACTCAACCCCAATTATAAAGGTGGATGCCTAACTTTTGAAGATGCCGCTACTGCCATGGCATGGACATCTCAGAATCAATCCTCGAGAACGGAAGTCATAATACATTTTTGGACTGGAATGAAACCATTTAATTAATACATGTTTGCTGATGATGTTTTGAACGAAGTCACTCCCCTGAATTGGTGGAAATCATTGGCCAGGCACCATGAAACAGAGTTCCTTCAGTTGCTAAGCCAACTTTTCACAGCAGTAGCTTCCTCTGCAGGCACAGAGAAAATATTTTCATCATTTGGTATTATTCACTCAAATCTAAAATCAACTGGGAGCTGAAAAAGCAGGAAAACTCGTATTTCTGTTTCAGTCTATGAATAAAAATGACAGTGAAAGTGAGGAAGATGAGAGCTAGTTATAGACATTTTAACACCACCATACATTTAGTGTTATGATAACTTGTCAGAATTAATAAAATTTTCAAATTTTAAAAGGGTTTAAGGTTGGTTGAAGGTTAAAGTTGTCAACCGGCAAATCAAGAGACTGCTGCAACTGCAAATGTGAAACATGTATATAACATTTAAATTCTGTTTAATAAGTGCTATTGTGTATGAGCGTGTAATTCAGTTAACATTCCCAATATGCCGCTGCATCTCCAGCATAATACTCCACTTGAGTATTATGTACTAGTTCTAAAATAAATAAAAATCATGTTATCTAAAAAAAGTTACACAATACACACCCCTCAATGTTGTAAATTGCTGTAAATGTTGTAAATAAACATATTGTAGTGATTAAATTTGTACTATTATTTAATAAATACATGGGAAAAGTATCAGTGGGAAACTTGATTTCAACCAATGATTTTTCTTGCTGCTTTAAATTGTGATTCAAATCAATGTTTTAAAGTGCCTTGGTTCAAATCAATCCCCATCGCAACCCTGTACCAAATCCACTACCTCACCTCCACAATATCTGCATTTTAGGCAATTCAGTTTGCATGCTGTGCTCTGTACCACACACTAGGGATGTTAGATATTGCATGAAATCTCAGCAGTTACATAACTATTCGATAGTCTCCAGGGACAAGGCTGGCAGCCAGCGCAGTCCAGGCCCCACTCTGGGGGAGCACCTTGCTACTACACACTGCAGAGGCAGCAGCACAGGGTGGCAGCAGCCTCTGTCCATAGAGGGTCCAAGCTCACTGTAGACAGAGGCTGGTCCATGCCAGCAGCCCTTGTCTGCAAGGAGTTCGGATTCCTACCCACCCCTCAACCCGGCATATGGGGCTGCTACTATGGACCAACCCCTGTCCTCAGAGGGCACAGCAACGGACAGAGGCTGCTTTGCCGCAGCCTCCCCTGATAGAGGCAGCAGCGCAGAGGTGGGAGGGGGGGAACCGACTTCTAAGCCAGCTCCCCCCTCCCCTGTGCTGCCTCTGTAGGAGGCAGCATGAGGTAGGGGAGATCCACAGAACCATCATGCACTGATCCACAGGAGGTCATTATTGTCTAGCACCATGGTCCCCAACACAGTGCCCGCGGGTGCCATGGCGCCCGCCGGGGCATTTACGTGCACCCGCGCCGGCGTTTTAAAACTACTCTCATCCACCCCTGCTTAGAGCAGGGTCAGCAGCCTGGGGCCTGCGAGAGAGCCCAACACGGCGTTTTGGAGGCTCAAGCCCCACCCCCACCACAGCAGATAGCCTTGTCTAGCACCATGGTCCCCAACACAGTGCCCGCGGGTGCCATGGCGCCCGCCGGGGCATTTACGTGCACCCGCGCCGGCGTTTTAAAACTACTCTCATCCACCCCTGCTTAGAGCAGGGTCAGCAGCCTGGGGCCTGCGAGAGAGCCCAACACGGCGTTTTGGAGGCTCAAGCCCCACCCCCACCACAGCAGATAGCCCGCGCAG